GATTTTCGTTTTAAAAACCAACAATCAAAAAACATTGAATTTCAATTTGATTTTTTTCATTTAAAAACATAAATCAAAAACTGGCTCGTTTTTCAATATCCGTTTCTAAAATAAAAATCCAATGTCCAAAAGATACTCTGACTGAAAAAACCATGCAACAAACCCCGTGGATCATCGAAACAAACATATACAACCCTTCATAAATGGCTAAATGGCTGTGGGTCCGTGGACGCGGTATCACCCAGTCATCAACAGGGTCTCACAGCTTGGCACTGGCAGGTCTGCCTTCCCTTCGGAAAGCATGTGCAGTCATGAATAATTAAGAAGCCGGCTCTTCTCATAGGATAAGAGAACTCCGCTATGAATAATAATGAGAAATCGACGCGTCATCTTTGCACTTGCAGGTTTGCGCTACGTCACCGATTTTGATCCCGCCCCAGAAATCATTTTAAACCCAGAAGATGAAATTAGCTGACAAAAGCTCCAAATTAGCCAGTTTTTCCCACAATTGCAGCTGACAGGTGCTAACATTGTCTTAACTGATACTCAACACACACAAACTTGTTAAAATCTCAAAGTACTCGAGGGTTTCTTGAACCTTAAAGTTTGCCATTGGCAATTTTTCTCTTTACGTTCTCCATTGTACGTGGCTGGAAATCATCACTGGTGCTTCTGGACCTCACGCATTGGATCTCATTAAACTTTTTTAAAAAGTTTTTTTTCTGAACTTTTTTTTTCTTTTTTTCTGAAGCCCGATATGCGTGCTAGCTATGATGTGAAAAGTTGGCACAAGGCCGGCACTAGGGGCATAAAATAAAAGTTGGGCCATGATGGGCTCTGGCTGAAATGCAGGGCTCTAGTCATGTTCTCACATGCCTATAAAACATATAATACACATGGCTTGATCTTAGCATTTTCACAAAATCATGTTTTTTTGGTTCATCGAGACAAAAATGTTTTGTCTTTTTAAAATTGCTCTTTAAAACCAATTTGGCTTTTTCATGCAAATGAACCAACAAACTTATCCATTTTTGTTGAAAACAAAGTCATGTCAACATGTCAATGTTTATTTACAGCAAGAAAGATATCTACATTTGTGCCCACAGTACTTACCCCATAATAGTATTGTAATTATAATCGCTGTGTTTTTGTCGACTGCTGATTTGTCATGAAAACAAAATTTGCTTTGTTAGAACTTAATGCTGTTTTTGAGGTGTCAAGTTAATCCACAGAAAAAAAACAGGTCTGAATTTTGCTTTCTCGGAAATGACAGTTCTTCCCCTTCAACCTCAGTCTGATGGCTTGGACGGGACATATTTTACTATTATACTGCAAGACAGAGATGGTGAGGATGAGCAATATCATAAAACTCTACTTTATATTCCATTTCTGTTGGAAATGTGACAATAACTCATGGTTCATACTTTAAATGTTAAATCTTTATAGCATGATGTATTCGGATTGGTCATCGGTTTTAGCATTCATTAACTCAAAAAACAAACAAACTGAATACTGTGATCAATCACCACCTGTGCAATAAGCCTATTCTGGACATTTTCTCACTAATAAATATGGCATGGACAACTGTTAGTGGTATTACAACAACAGCAGCAGCAACTCTGCCACAAAGTGGTAGGCCATGTAAGATCAGAGCAGGGTCATTGAATGCTGAGGCACATCTCCAGGTAATCTCCAGCTTTTTATGGGGATTGTGGTGTGGGCTTGTTATTCAGGGGTTAGGCTTTTCCCCAAAAGGTGATCCTCAACCATTAATTTACCAACACTAGATAATTTTATGCCCCTATATTTTGAGGAACAGTTTTGGAGGGACCACTTTCTGTTCCAACTTGACTGCAAAAAGCAAGTTCTTTAAAGACTTGGATGAGCAAATTTGGTGTGGTGAAGAACTTTGCTCCCCAAACAGAGTCCTGACCTCAACCTAACTGAACACCTTTAGAATGTGGACTAAGCGAGCGCTTTTCATCGAACATCAATGCACGACCTCGCAAATGCACAAAAAAATCCCATAACCACACAAAAACTGTGGAAAGCTTTCCCTGAAGATCTAAGCAGTTATATCTGGATATAGTGAGCCAACTCCATATTATACTCTATAGATTAAGATTGGGCTTTAAATAAATATAAACACTACCTGACAAAAGTCTTGTCGCCTATCCAAGTTTTAGGAACAACACATAATTACTTGACTTAGTTGATCATTTGGTATCAGAAGTGGCTTATATGAAAGGCAGAGGCCTCTAGATTACCCTTCTTCCACCATAATAAAAAATGTTCATGTCCTGATTTTTAATTACATAGTTAGGACAGTAAGGTCTGACTTTGCTTAGACGAAAGTCTCATCTCTTAACAGAAATAATGTACAGTATAGAATATAAAGTCATGCTGCAGTGGAAAAACAATGAATATTGTGTATGACTCCCAAGAGCTTATAGGACTGCATCCATACATCTCTGCAATGACTCAAATAACACATTAATAAAAGTCATCTGGAATGGCAAAGAAAGCGCTCTTGCAGGACTCCCAGAGTTCATCAAGATCACTTGGATTCATCTTCAGCATCTCCTCCTCCATCTTACCCCTTACATGCTCAATAATGTTCCTATCTGGTGACAGGGCTGGCCAATCCTGGAGCACCTTGCCCTCCTTAGCTTTCAGGAATTTTGATGTGTAGGCTGAAGTATGAGAACGAGCGCTATCCTGCTGACGAATTTGCCATGTCATGTGGTTTGTAATGTAATGAAATAAGCAGCACAAATGTCTTCAGGCTGTTGATGTTGCTATCAACTCTTTAGATCTCTCGCACGTCTCTAAAATGAATATAACCCCAAACCATGATCCTTTACCAAACTTAACGGATTTCTGTGTGAATCTTGGTAAAAATCTTGGGTCCATGCACCTGCAATTGGTCTTCTGCAGTAATGTTTTGATTAGGAATGCAGTTCTACAGATGATTCATCGAAATACATGGAGAGTCTAAAAATGCTTTTATATCAGCTGACGTTAGAACAGCAAACACAAACATCAGTTTAGAGCCAGTATTTGAGTGATTCTCTAGCGAAATATCTAAAGTGATGACATAACAGGTGATTTTGCTGACATTTTAGAATTATAAGGCTGAACGGCATGAAATGCCATCAGTCTACAGACATTTCCCAGTATCTCTATGTTGCAATTTGGAGATAACAATAATTAACCCTGAAAACGCCAAAGCAAACACTAACAGATTACTATATAAATACAGCAATGAAAAATACAAAAGAGAGATCGAATGTAACCTACCTTTTTTATAATGATTTGTTTAGCTGTAGTTTGAAATTTTAAGTTTTTCTTCCCTAAGGGCTTATTAAGTGGTCTTTGTTGCCATCTTGTGATGAAATGTGTCTGTTGGCTGCCAACATGCTAAATAAATATTTTTAAAAAAGGCATCATTCTTATTATCTTATCTTATTACAATATCACATCATGTTGACCAGCAGCTGCAATATTGTTAAACTGTGGTGAGCTTATTCCTCTGCTTGGGCGGAGTAATACACAAAGGTAAAGAGGCTGAATGAGTGATGATATTGCAAAATATCGCACAGCTATCAACCAATCAGATTCGAGAACCAGACAGAATCATATGTGCTGGGCGTATATAAGATAGTTGAAACTGGGAATGATAGATTTAAAAAGTTTTTTTTCCTGTATGTTGGGATAATTACAGCATGTTCAATAGAAATTAAAAGATTCGTTTTCTCCAAATGATCTGCTGTTTAGTTGTGAAGTTTACTTGACATCTTACCTTGCAGGCTGTTTTGCCTGAATTTAATCAGCATTTGAAACGTAATGATAAACACGTACAGTTTTTTGATATTTAGTGCATTTCCCTCCTGGAAACTTTTATGAAATACTCAGTATTTTCCCCATATTTAGAGGGCGCACTGCGGGCTGTAATTTGTGCCGGTTATTGACGGATGATCGGTTTCCGTAGCCGGTTTCCTGAGCGGCCAAATCAGCGGCCCACCCACCTGGAATAGCTAAGTGTACACCGGTTAATTGCTGTACGTAGGAAGGGAAGCCGATGAGGGGGAAGATGTGAGCTTCAAGTATTCACAATATAGTCGAGATACAAAAAAAAAAAAGATTTAAAATCTGTCGGCTGCACATGGGCCTAGACTGCAAAACAGCTCGCACTTTTCACCTGTGCAAATCCTAGTGCCAGGAGAGAGAAAAAAAAACCCGTAAATGAATTACTGTTCCAGCAAGGAGTGGTTAATATTTGATGCTCTCGGTGGATTATGTGCGCTGAGCTGATTGCATCGCTCTCCATGGTGCTGAAATGGCGAATGACGGCTGTCGATTAGCCAGAGGCGCCGTTTGAGGATCAGCACTTGATTGCACGATTCTGCACCAGATGATTTGAGATTATTAACTCCAACTCATTTGTTAGATATTAGATTAAGCGCAGATTAATAGCTGGAGATTTAATTATGCATTAATTGCCTATGATTCATCTTCAATAAAGCACTTCTTAAATAAAGTTGCATTTATTGCAGAACCATTCATACATCTTTTTACCAATTTAAATTTACGTGGTTTTATATCATTACCAGGTTTAAATCTATAGATGGTGTAGTAATATTTTAAAATATTGCATGTATTCATAATTAAATATTGGATAAATTAAATCTTTTTATTTTATTATTGTTTTTATGTGAATAGATTTCATGCTGTGGCAAAAGCGACGGTTGTCATTATGCGGGTTGGCTTTTCTCTCTCTCACACACACTCCCTCTCCTTCTTTGTGTTCGTGTCTTTTATGTGCATTTTGTTTTTAAATCCATATTGGGTTGCCACATTTATCAAACGCCATAGCTTACCTCTATATATCCCCAAGCCATTTCTCCTATCTTTAAGGGAACGGAATCAAGATTATTAGAGTCACAAACAAAATGACATCGTTGTCATGGCAACCGATCTGTGTGTCTCCCATCACCACACACACACACACAGACACACACAGACACACCATATTGCTTAGCCAGCCATAATCGTGGCAAGGATGAGAAGTAGTTTGAGAAACGAAACACTTGAAGCGGTCGGGAATCAACGTATCAAACCCTCATCAACGCCGTCTCGCGAAACCAATAAACGCACTATTCAGCGCAGCGGACCTGTGTGAGAACACCCGCCTCATTCCACCGGTGTTTCGTGACAGGGTCGGAATGTTCTTGTGTGCACACTTTGCAGGCGGCGTCGATTAACGGCAACGTTGAGGAGCAACAATTCATGGCATCGGTCATTCTGCGCGCCATTAAAAACACACGAGGGACCTAGACAAAGGTGATCTCACCTGGAATACTTTCACAGCACATAACGTTACACGCAAATAAGTTGCACTGAAGGGGCAAAAATTGATGGTCTAATCTGTAGTACGAACATGGAAACGAGCGGGGTTGGTGAGAGAAAATCCTGGGAAGAAATGAGTGACTATAACAGTTGTTTTGTTATCAAAAAACGAGGCTGTCATCAGTAGGGGAGCGCTGCAACAGTTTGTGGGAATAATTCCTCAGCCATCATCGTCGCTCAGGTTGAATAAGATGTGAGACTGCTGCTGTTTGTCGTGAGGATCAGTGCAATTCAGTTCAGGTAAGTCTTTTAAGTTCAGCTACACAGCTGCATGTCATCTAAATGTCTTTATTAATGCGCGTTTTTCTGCGCCATGCTTCTGTTCTCATGGAAGTTTCGTGGCTTACGCTTGCAAAGGTGTTAGGCGAGACTATGTTCGTGTCACATCTTGTGTTTTGAGTGAGTTTCGGGCGTCCAGAGGAAGATGTTCACACATATGTAAGTGTAAGGTGGCTCCACATCAGCCTTCGTGCAAACATGCATTCACGCCTACGCAGACGGCCATTCATTGCGCTCGCGCTGCTTGTCATGTCCTCCTACTCACCCTCGTGCGAAGTACAGCTCCACAATCCGCAAGAGACACGTCGATACACGATACTTTCACCTTCGACTATCAGAAATGTATCAAAAGCTGTTGTTATTGAGGAACATGAGTGTAGCGAGAGCGTCTAAAGTCAGCTTTGCGCAGAGGAGTTTTCGCACGGTGTGTTTCTCCACAGGTATGACGCTCGCTCATTCTGCATGTGTTAAATTGACACAATCACAGATTGGGGGGATTTTTGCGGCCTACACATAATTAAACAACTTCTAAAATAACTATATATATATATATAAAACTGTAAGGCATGATGTTATCAAGATGGCATCTCTGTAAAAAATGATGACAAATATGAGTTAACTTGAAAATACTTGAAGAAAGCACCTGCAATATTTGTTGTGTGTCATTATTTCTATATTCAAACTGATATGTCATTATTACAGCTCATACAAATAAAGCTGTTTGTCCTGTTTAGAAATCTGTGAAATTAGCTGTCATGGAGAACCAAGCAGAATTTGTTCTTGCTAAATGGCACATTTTGATGTTTTGCAACACGTTTTCCACTGAAGTCAGATTGTGCTTGGGGGGGGAGAGGACTGTCCATTAATGTGATAATTCCTCACCTTATTGCTTTAGTTCTGCAAAGCTGCACAAAAAAGTGGGTTTGTTTGGTTCCTTTTACCTTTCGCAACATTCATTTAACAGAGATTAAAAGTATTTTATTATCTAGCCTGTGGCATTATTCCAGCTCATGTAAATAAAGCTGGATTTCTTTCATATGACACATTTTGCAGCTCACAGCATTATCTTTTACTCATGAAATCATTTTCATGGGCCGTCTGCACCTACCTGATCTGAGTAAAATGCAACAAAAAAAGAAATGAGATTTCTATAATGTCATTTGTACTAAAATAGACAATTTCTAAAAGCAAGGCACATCCTCCCAAAAACTAATAAAATGCGTACCACTGGGACCTGAGCAGATCATCCCCAAAGTACAATTGAGATCAGACTGATTCATATAAATTAGCCAATAATGCAGTATCTGAAGAGTTCAGATGCAATAACCTGAACTTTTCCTCTAAATCTTGCACTTCTCTTAACCTCCTATGTTTATGTTCAGTTATTTCACGTTAAAGGCGATGAAAATAACCTATTCTTTGCACTAAGAGTAAAATGACTAAAACTACACACAATAGCCTGTGAAAATGCTGATTTTAGCTGAAAATTTCAGACGGCACTTGAAGGTTTTTCATTTAAACTTTTCATATATACAAAAAGCTGTGAGATTGTATTAATCTTTACCACTGACAAGAATTTTAACTTACAAAAAAAAATATTTTTTGATGCTTTCTAAAGCATTTTACTCATTAAACCAACCTGAAATCACCGAAAAAAAAAAATATACATGCTTTGGAGAATTGAGAGTCTCAGAAACTACGTTTTCTATAAAGAAGGCCCATCCCTAAACATGTGCGTCACTATGACGTGAGCAGATCATCCCAAAACATGCAAATTAATACAAATATCAGAATGTGGTCAACTTATTACAAACTGCCATGAGACTATGTTGGTTTGCATCTCTGACAGAAATGCTTCACGATGCGCACAAAGTGTATTTCTTTGGTCTCTTTCACTTTTCATTTTGTGCATTCTAACAAATTTTCCTTCATGCAGATTGGAAAAGTATTTGAAGCTCCAAGCAGAATTTAGTTTTTGAGACATTTTGATAATGCAAGCCCACAACTATTTAGATTCTGTAGCTCTACAGACCCTTACATTGTCCACGATGCAAACAAAGTGGGTTTTTAAGTCTCTTTCACTTCTGATTTCATCCATTTGACAGCCGAGCCTTTTAACAACATCAAGAACAAGGCGATTCATTTTATAAATATGCATTTTTAATAGGAGTCGATGGAATGTTTTAGGGCGATGGACTGCTAGTCGAGTCCGCAAATAGCCCGGAGCATCACAGGGGTATGAGGCGAAAAGGACAAACTCTTTGTCTTTCAAGAGGAGGGCAGCTTTTGGAGGGGAGAAGAAGGTTTATTCATCCTATCTATCATTCTCTTTCTCCTTCTTTCCTTCTATACAAGTCTGAACTACTGCAGTGCTATTCTGAGAGAGAGTGAGCTGCCTCAACCCACGCACAGAATATCACAGAGAGAGAGAGAGATAAAGAGAAGTCGACAGAATGGCCAAAACAGACATGTTTTGCAACAGGAATACAATGAAATCGAAGCAGAACGGCACGATTTCCTAAGATCAGATTAAAGGCAGGTGAAGCGTCCACGATTTTCTCAGCGAACTCATGTTTCCGTCAGATTTTGAAGCTGTTTGTGAATGCGCCACATCTTCAGTCGCACATCTCTTTAGAAGTCGCCCACAGTGCCTTGCTGATTGGATGCCGCGTTCTGGAAAAAAAGAGAAGCTAATCCAGTTTGTAGAGGCGCATACTGTTTCGCATAGACAAGAAGGTGTCGAAATGGCCTACGCTTTATTATAGATATGCAAATGAGAGGTTACTGTTTTTAATGTTGAAGACTGGAAACGGCCCACATGGATCACCTGCTCAGATCAAAGTCGCAGTTTTAAAACGTCTTCTCAGGTTGCTTCTTGCAGAACTTCATGACAAGTGTGAGGAAAGTACTGAAAAACAATAACAAAAACAACAACAAAAAACAACCCTAGTCTTCCCACGTAGGTCTCGCTGGTTGCTCTGTATGTGCAAAATCTGTAATTGAATCTGTCCTTTTAAAAGCTTGGCTATTAAATTCATCCATATTAATCATGCCTTAATTAAGGGGCAAACCCATCAGCAGGTTCTGTTCTGCTAATCATGAAGACTTCGTTAACAGGGGCAGTTCACGCATCCAGTGTTACACCGATAAGTCATTAAACAGTTGAGGCCAGAATTATTAGCCCACAGTAGAGTTTTTCTCTTTTTTAAAATATTTCCCAAATTATGTTTAACAGAGCAAGGAAATTTTTACAGTCTGTCTGATAATGTTTTTTTTTTCTGGGGAAAGACTTATTTGTTTTATTTCGGCTAGAGTAAAAGCAGTTTTTTTTTATTTTTTAAACACTATTTTAAGGTCAAAATTATTAGCCCCTTTAAGCTATATATTTTTTCAATAGTCTACAGAATAAACCATCATTATACATTAACTTGCCTAATTACCCTATTCTGCCTAGTTAACCTAATTAACCTAGTTAAGCATTTAAATGTCACTTTAAGATGTATAGAAGTGTCTTGAAAAATATCTAGTCAAATAATATTTACTGTCATCATGACAAAGATAAAATAAGTCAGTTATTAGAGATGAGTTATTAAAACTATGTTTAGAAATGTGTAAAAAAAAATCTTCTCTCCGTTAAACAGAAATTGGGGGAAAAATAAATGGATAAATAATTCTGACTTCGACTGTATGAATATATAATAATATGAATTATTATAATTTAGTTAAAGTCAGAATTAGGGCTGCATAATATTGAAAAAATCTGATATTACGATATTTTATTTTTTGCAGTATATATTGCAATATAAATATAATTCACAAGATAGTTTGAATTGCTGTATTTGACAATTTTCTGGGCAATCTGAAAGTATTCAGGTACAGAAATTGAATAATCACAATTCTTAAAATGCATATAATTTCTAGTGAAAATATCGAAAAATGTCTTAAATCAAGTAAAAAATATTGTTTAGCTTTCACCTTTAGAAGAAACTAAGAGTTTTTCCTTAAAACAAGCTAAATTCTCTGCCAATAGGGTAAGTAAAGGACTCAGTTTTCAGTCACTCGGTTTTCAGTTTGAATTCAGTTGAATGCCATATAAATAACTTAAATACAAGTAATCTTTGTTACACTTTCCAACATTATAATATTTTTGTGCCCAGATTTTTAAAACTCTCTTGAATTGTGCAATCAAAGGCAATAAAAACACATGCAGAGGATAAAGTTTCCCTCTATTATGTTTAAACTTACAAATCACATGTGTTCTGTAGCTCCTGGTCAACTACGATTCAGACTCAACATTGCAGATCCTGCGATGTGACTATTTCAGATGTGCACATTGCGATATCGATGCTGAAACGATATGATGTGCAGCCCTAGTCAGAATTATTAGCCCTCCTAAATTATTAACCACCCCCCGCCCCCGTATATCTTCCCCCCAATTTTCATTTAACGAAAGGAAGCACATATCTAAACACAATAGTTTTTATAATTAATAAACTAATTTCTTTGATATTTTCTATGATGGCAGTAAATAATGTTTTAGTGGATATTTTTCAAGGTACTATATTCAGTTTAAAGTGACATTTAAAGGTTTAACTAGGTTAATAAGGTTAATTATGCAGATTAGGGTAATTAGACAGGCCATTATATAACAATGGTTTATTCTGTGGACAGTGGAAGAAAATTGCTTAAGGGGGGTAATCATTTTAACCTTAAATCAACCATTTTGATTTTAAAGAATGATTTATTTAGCTGAAATAAAACAAATTAGACTTTCTCTAGAAAAAAAAAAGTATTATCAGATAAACTGTGAACATTTCCTTGCTCTGTTAAACATAATTTGGGAAATATTTAAAAAAGATTAAAAAAAAATCACAGAGGGCAAATAATTTTGACTTCAGGTGTATATACACAGTTAAAAGCACAGTTTTTAGACCCTTGTTTAATTAGATTTTAAAAAAAAA